GCCACTCCCCTTTTTGCATACTCAGTAGGGTTGCCCCCTGCAGAGGTGCAGTGATGGAGAGGGTAGTTAATTTGATTGGCTTACACCAGGGTAGAGGCTTCGGGATGGTTTAAACAGGCCTACGCTCTCCCTCCAGGAGGACATCTCTGGGTTTATGTTTGTTTTCTAGTTGCACTACTGGTAACGTAGTTTTGGCTGGATCTTTAGTGATGATGATGGGGCCTTCCTCAGATCATGTGACTGCAGAAAATGATCTCTATGATACCCAGAACAGAAACTTCTGTAAATCTATAAAGAACATAGAAAACAATGAAATGCAAAACTGTTTGTTTGTTTTTGGTTTTTTAAGGGTTAATCGGTCTCCAAGTACTTGTTTATCATGTTTTCTGGGGCTTTCTGTGTAACATTTAAGGGTCTTTACCTCTAAATCTGCTGCGTCGAGGTCGCCAACTTTGACCTATGACCTTCATCCAAATTGTAAAGCACGCTTCCACTGGACTCTGGAGCAGCGGCGACTTTTCTCTGGAGTGAGGAGTCTAACTTCTCCGTCTGGCAACTTGATGGACGAGTCTAGGTTCAGCGGTTGCCGGGGGAACATTACTTGTGCCAAGCGTAACGTTTGGAGGGGGGTTGTTTGTGAGGAGTTGCTACTTAGTTTCATTGAAAGGAACTTGTGACGCTTCAGCATAGCAAAACATTTTAAACAATTTCATGCTCCCAAATTTGTGGAGCTATTTGATGATGGGCTCTTTCTGTTCCAACATGGCTGTGCGCTGGTGACAAACTCCATGACGACATGAGGGGGTGACTTTGGTGTGGAAGTGGAGTCCTATTCTTAACCCAGTAGAAACCCTTTGGAATAAATTGGGTCAGAGATTGCCAACCAGGCGTTCTCATCAAACAAGAGTGTCCAACTTTACAAATGCGCCTTGTGAAGGTTTATTCAGAATTCTCATATTCGCACTTCTAAACTTTGAGGAAAGTTATACGGTTCAGATTCCTTGAGCCCTGCTGATTCTGTACGTTTGCCCAATAACAGAGAAATGTTCAGTTCATCATTTCAATGGTGGGTTTGAGCCGTGAGAGACAGAACCATAACAAAGATGCACTTCAATTTACACATTAATTTGCATTTTAATGAAGGAAATAAGTATTTGACCCCTTTGAAAATGTGCAAAAAAAAAGGTTTTGCCAATGCCAGAGGTCAGACTCGTCTTGTAGTTTTGCACACGTGTCAGGGTGGATTTTGTCCTCTCTGCAGATCTCCAAGTCATTAATGATTTCACTGAGTCAGAACATGAACGCTATCTGAATGTGCCCAGGACTGCAAGTATGCCGTCATAAATCAGGTTTTATATATTAAATATTTCTTCCCAGAAACTCCTGAGAGCAGGAGCAGAAAAGGTGGCCAACAGTTCCTTTCTTTGTATTTATCACACAATGAAGACAGAAAAATACTGTCCAGCTTTGTGTTAGAGAAACAAACAACGAATGACTTTGTAAATGCCGTTAAGATAAGGATATTAGTAGCTTTGTTTAATGTGCTGTAGAGGTTTGGTCATCGCTGGCGTCCTGCGTGCTCATCACTGTCAGTGTGCAGTGTGTAGCTTATTTATGCACACCAGTGTAAAGCAGTGCTCTCATTATTTACAGGCAGTAAATTATTTTTCCTGTCTTGTCAGAGGTTCAATCGTTACAGGATCGTCATGTCTTGCGTGACGTTGGTTCTGGTGGTTCATGTATCTGGGACTGATTCAGGGCATTTTCATGGTTAATGTGCTTTTGAAAAACCAGTTAAATGTTCAAACTGAAGCCCGGTCATCTGTAACTCTGCAGCATCTGTGTCCAACCGCAGTCATTGATATTCATAGTTGATGTGAAAAACAGTGACACAAATGTTCACAGCAGCTGTTGCAGTTTTGACTGCAGCTACAACTTTAATATGTTACTTAAATTTAATGTTGTTCATATAATGCCAACAGTCAAAGCCTCTTGGCTGCTCTGCATTGTGACATTTGCTGTGACTCCTAACCCTTCCAGGTGGGTATAAATGGTTTGTTAACCCTTCTACTGCAATACATTGAGAATTTTGAATAATTCAATAATAAAAAAGTCTTGACGCAGTGTTTACTTCTATGCTTCCTTTAATGCACAGCTTTGCAGCGCGCCGATATGTTAGTGAGTGTTGCATCCACTGAAAACAGACCTGACAGCATTAAGCCCCCACAGCCCCCAGTTTCAAACAGACGGCAGCAGCAGTGAAGACGCTGCACAGCTTTAACGTGAGACTGGAATCTGTGTGTAAAATGTTGGACACCCCAAAATTCAGATGTTTAGCCCTTCACACGGGTCCAGCCCAGTTTATCTGCCCCACCCAGGTGGGGACGATGATTCAGGCGTCTGGGTGGGAGTTGGGGACGGATGATGACAGAATGAGAGGTGAATGAATACATATAGTTTGTGTATAATTATTTATTATCTGAAAGAGTTTGTATACATGTGACAGTTTCTTCTTTGGTTTGGTGCTGCTTTCTTCAGACATTTAGTTTCAGCTGATCCAGACGCTCACCTGAGGCAGGTCGAGTATAAAAGGAGTCGCTGTCAGCGGCGTGAATTCCTGCTCCAGTGATAAAGACCAGAGGATGAGTTTAATTCAGCCTCAGGCAGCTTTGTTTGAACCTGACAGTGAGACCATCTGTGTGACCGATCATACAACAGAAGCGTGGGCTTCATTTACCTGTGTGTGTGGAAATGTTCAAAAAAAAAAAAATCCATTTCTCCGTTAGATTAATGACATGAGCACGTCGGCCAGTTTGTTCTTCCCACTGTGCACATGTCAGTCAGTTTATCTCCACATCCACAGGCTTGTGCTCACATCTTGTAGTCTTACTATCTGCATACGACACGCCCCAATTTCTCTATATAAGGGAACAAGGTTAGCTGGAGGTGAGTTTTGAATTTATTTATTTAAAAGGGACAGTGCAGTTAAACATAGTTCAGGTGCAAGACGTGAGACTGATGTGCCGCACAGGTTTATAGCTACTGCTCATTTTCAACAATTGTCCCTTGTTGGGCTTATAGTCTAAATAAATACATATTACAATAAAACATTTTCATAAAACCAAATTACATCATAAATACAATTACAATTGATAGACAATAATTTAAAATTTAAAATCATCAGATAAAATGACAACTTTGGTTTCCCTTTAACCTTCATTGTAAAAGATCTGATGTCTGTAATCAGTTTGATGTCGGTTGGAAGCTCCACAGACGTCAGGCCTGTATGGAAAAAGCTGACTGACCGAAAGTAGATCTGCGATATGATATCTTGCAGTTGCCGTTCACCTTCCTAGTAACACGATTACTGTCTTGTCTCTGGATGTGTCTATTGAGAC